ATCGGGTATACTGGGTAGAAGGGGAGGTCGCATACAACTTTGCTTTTGTGTCTGCATGTCAATGCACATGCGCTAAACAATAAAAGGAGTGAATTCATGTTACGTAATAAAGCATTGGAATAAAAATAATGCACAAATAGGTAAAATGCTGCAAAAAGCATGTTAGTCACGTTCACTATGACCGTGCCTGCGTATAAGCGTATCAACTAATGTGTCGTGGAAAGGGAAAAATTGTCTACAAACATATTCCAAAACCCAGCATCGTGTAAGACAAGTGACCACCAAGTATATTTAACGTCAGCATGTGATGCCGACATTACAATCTACAATGTTTCGCGGCCGTTTGGTCGGCTGCGTGTCGCTGCTGGACCGCTCCCAGCTGGATCCGATGGCCAGTCTCTGGCCCCCGGCGGCTGGCCGGCCGCCACTGTGAGTAAAACACGGTCCCAAAATACCCGGCCGGCGGCACCGCCCCCCTCCCCCCCCGGGCGGTGTCTCTGAGAGGTGTCATGGCGCCCATTGAGCGCGCATTTCGTCTATCAGCGGGTGCACTCGTCCAGTGACCGTTCGCCCACTGATCACAGCCGCTGCGGCAGTTCATTGAGGGCTGCGGACGCGCCAAGGACAGCCGCACCCGCCCCCGCCCCCGCCCCCGGGGTGATGTCACCCGGGGCCCTATCGCCGCAGACTATACACACGCCGTGGGCACTGGCAGGCTGCGACCACACGACTGCCGGGACCGGCTTCCGGCGACCAGGCGTCACAGCTCACTGCGAGCGTTTGGCCACCGGCTACTTACTTTTCATTTGCCGTTTAGCCATTCACGGGCTGTTTCATTTTACCAGCAATTCCTTTCTTTGGTGCTTTTCTGTTTAATTCTGAAATGTTCAATGTTATGCAATGTTCTTGCATGATGATTTTTTTTTAACCATTGGACAACACAAACCGTTGGGTATTGAACAAAATGATATCCTGCTAATATAGCTGCTATGTGTTACCGTAGCTCCCGCACAAAATGCGGTCGGTAAGATATTTTTCACCATCACATGTTGCAATGTCGGTCATGTGAGCGTGGTCAGCCCCTGAATCTCCGACGTTCCAGAGCATGCCGCTAGCGTGGCTCCAGTGTTTACCATTAATGTCGCCACGCTCTGGTTTCCCGTGATCAACTGTTGGCCGGTCATTAATCGAGTGGGTGGGGTCCACTGGCCATCAGATGCAGCCATTAGTACCTGAGTACCGCGCTGGTACATTTACTCAGTGGGCTGCTGTGGGATGGACGGCGGAGCTCCATATGTGGGCTATCAGGGCCGGCATCTTAATAGGGCTGTCGTCGCCGCTGTGATCTGCAGCTCATCTCCATGACGGGCTATATTGGAGCGGGGCTCAGCGGGCGGAGAGCGGCCGGCTTAACACCTGTAGTTGTGACAGGTACACCAGCTATCGCAGCGGAGCTAATCCGAGGAGGTAGGATGTGAATAGCATATATCAAGATCAGATATTCTAAATCGGCACGCTATAAGGAATGTGACGCATTGGAATAATGGGATATGACTGCTTCCAAAGATCAGATCAGCTACCGCAGACCTTTACTTAAATCGTTCAAAAGAAACGAAAGCCAAAATCAATCCAACGGTAGTTTTCCCAACATCGTTACCATCTCATTTGGGAGTATAAATAAACTCTTCCACAGAGAAACACAAGATAAAATGATCAGCGTGAACGAATTCCGCACCAGGCGTTCCCGTTTTTCCTATAATTCGCCGTGTTACGTAAGGGCCCCTTACTACGTAAGGGGCCGTTTTACTGTCTCTCTGCCCCAGTGTCTGTGTGTCTCCGTCGCCCTCTGTGAGCTCCAATCGGCTCCCAGACACCGGCACGGCAGAGACATCCTGTCTGCGCCTCTATAGGCGCTCCCAAACAGCGGCAGTGACTAGCCTGTCCGGCCCTCCGGCCGCTCCCTCAAACTCTGACCAATGACCGTCGGGAGACGCACCTGCCGCTCCCTCAAACTCTGACCAATGACCGGCCCGCCGGGGCCGCTCCCTCAAACTCTGACCAATGACCGGCCCGCCGGGGCCGCTCCCTCAAACTCTGACCAATGACCGGCGGGAGACGCACCTGCCGCTCCCTCAAACTCTGACCAATGACCGGCAGGACGCACCTGCCGCTCCCTCAAACTCTGACCAATGACCGGCAGGACGCACCTGCCGCTCCCTCAAACTCTGACCAATGACCGGCGGGAGACGCACCTGCCGCTCCCTCAAACTCTGACCAATGACCGGCGGGAGACGCACCTGCCGCTCCCTCAAACTCTGACCAATGACCGGCGGGAGACGCACCTGCCGCTCCCTCAAACTCTGACCAATGACCGGCGGGAGACGCACCTGCCGCTCCCTCAAACTCTGACCAATGACCGGCGGGAGACGCACCTGCCGTTCCCTCAAACTCTGACCAATGACCGGCGGGAGACGCACCTGCCGCTCCCTCAAACTCTGACCAATGACCGGCGGGAGACGCACCTGCCGCTCCCTCAAACTCTGACCAATGACCGGCGGGAGACGCACCTGCCGCTCCCTCAAACTCTGACCAATGACCGGCGGGAGACGCACCTGCCGTTCCCTCAAACTCTGACCAATGACCGGCGGGAGACGCACCTGCCGCTCCCTCAAACTCTGACCAATGACCGGCGGGAGACGCACCTGCTGCACCTGCTGCTCCCACCGCCCTCCGGCTCATCGGCTCGGAATGGCGGCCCGTCCGCTCACTGCCTACACAGCACTGCTGCACGGTCCCCAGGGAATTCATCGCATTGACTCCACGTCGTCTTTTTCATTAACGTTATTGATACGTTTGGTTATCGCCGGTTTCGTAGCCTTTCCTATCTATCTTATCTCACCTTATCTACGGGGGAGAACAATCATCAAATGCTTTTAAATCGTGCAAACTAACGCCCTGCGAATCAACACCACATATTGGGATGTATCTAAGCTCCCTAAATCTCTTCACGCCCTTCTAAGCGCAGCGTGTATACCAAACACTCAACCCCACTACCCCAGCCTTCCGACACCCAGCACGCGCCACCCATCCCCGCCCCCACCATGCGGCGCGTCTCCAGACATTTGCAGCCCAACAGCGCCGCGCCGCCGCTCAAGGCCAGGCCATTCAGGCCTGTCGACCTCGAATGCTGAAGTCTGGATGCCGCCACCCACCAGTTAGAGAACCGAACGAGCGGGGGCGGCGGTAGCGCCACACTCGAGCGGAGACGGGGCACGCGGCGCGGGCCGGCCAATCCCGGGAGCCGATCGACGAGACGCGACGGTTACCATAGCGCTTTGGACGGTTCGACGCGAGGGGCAGACCATCCCGCGTTGGGGCATCGCGGGAGGGGAAAAGCGTCGCGAGAAATCGAGGTCGAATTAGTCTTTTCATTGCTCGGAGCGTCGGGAAGAGCGCCAGAGCAGCTCAGACGGCGGAGGCAGCCCGGTCGGCAAGGGCGGACCGACTCTGCCTGCCATCTAGCGGCCGCAGTCGGAAGCTCCGCGGGCACCGCCCAAACCGTGACGGCGGCCGCGGCAGTCGGGATGTTTCGTCGACACAGGGCATTCACACAGATACGACACCCAGCACATCTCGCATTTCTCACAAACAGCTCACAGGGCACAGCGCACAAACTACTGTCATGTGTGTGGGGGGAGGGGGGGGGGCAAACGGGACGATACGAGAAGCACAGCGGCATGCGCGACACGCATAATGCAGTGAATTTACCACAATCACAATCGGTACCACACCACATCGGTAGATCACAATCCGATGGAAAACATTGATCGCAAAGACTAATGGGGAAGTTGAAAATGTTACAAACGTTACGCGATAATCATCGCCCATAACGTGCCGGCATATTTCTTGTGAGCGTTTTCACCAAATAGCTTGCTTTTAAATCTTATAAGGCAGACTTACACGTCAAGATTAGCTACGCATGACTTTATGAAGCCTGACCAGGGATGCGGAGCCGGAGCCGGAGTCGGAGCCGGAGCCGCCGGAGCCGGCATATTTTGCCCGGAGCCGGAGCCGGAGCCGGAGCCGTGAAACAATATAGCCCGGAGCCGGAGCCGGAGCCGGAGCCGCCAAAAAAGGGGGCGACTCCGGCTCCTTTTTATTTTTTGAAGAGGAAAAAAATAATTGACCTAGCTCGGTTTGACAGTACAATGCAGTAAAACATATGGTACTATTGGTCTCAGGATAAGGGCCCAGGCGACCTGTAGTTTTGATGCGGTGAATACCCTCACCCTCGCCACAACTCGAGTGGGGGTGGCGCTGGCTGGGAGGAGGGGTGCACTCGGCCCGAGTTGTGGCGAGGGTAAGGGTATCCATCGCATCAAAACTACAGGTCGCCTGGGCCCTTATCTTGAGACCAATAGTACGTCATGGGCCATCAAGTGAATGAAAAAAGCCGAATATCCCCAGTATCCCACAGTACGCAATCAACTTCCTGTCTGCTCCTCCCCCCCCCCCCCCCCCCCACACACACGTCTACTGCATCCCCAGAACATGAGGACCGGTCATCAGGTGACGGCCATTGTTTTGAAGCCAGTGCAGTGGACTGCGACTCCCAGCAACGTCTCTTTTTCTTCCACCCGTATTAAATTGATTGCATAGGGGATGTACTGAGTCGGAGCCGGAGCCGCCGGAGCCGGACCATTTTACTCGGAGCCGGAGCCGGAGCCGGAGCCGCCATAGCATTTCACCCGGAGCTGGAGCCGGAGCCGGAGCCGATTTTTTCTCCGGAGCCGGAGCCGGAGCCGGAGCCGTCTGAAATTTCCACGGCTCCGCATCCCTGAGCCTGACAAAACAATTCATTACAGCACATCTTAGCCAATTGGGGACCGAGTAATTCAAACGTTTGAGCACAACCACATGGTTTGACACACAGTCACTCAGTCCGGTGCTCAGAGCATGAGGTACTCAGTGTCACGCCAGGAATTGATCGGGGTACTCACCGGTGGCGTCATGACCGGCGCTGTTCATCCAGAGTCGTAGCATCACAGTGGCCTGCTGCGCCGAGTCGTCCGGGTACTCGGTCTGAATCAGCTGAATGTCCGACTCGGGAATATCTGCGGCAGATACAGACACAGATACAGATAAGGTGAGTCGTCTGGGTACTCGGTCTGTATCAGCTGGATGTCCGACTCGGGAATATCTGCGGCACATACAGATACAGATACAGATACAGTGAGTCGTCCGGGTACTTTGTATCAACTGGATGTCCGACTCGGGAATATCTGCGGCAGATACAGACACAGATACAGATACAGTGAGTCGTCCGGGTACTCGGTCTGTATCAGCTGGATGTCCGACTCGGGAATATCTGCGGCAGATACAGATACCACTGAGATACAGATACAGTGAGTCGTCCGGATACTCTGGATCAGCTGAATGTCCGACTCGGGAATACCTGCACGGAAAAGGGACGAAAATATGAGGAACAGGGTACGGTGGGTAAGGAGACAAAAATAAGACGCAATGACCGCAGGGCAGTGCAGACTGGTGCAGACATCCTCCCCAGATTGCCTTTGCACAACTAAGCCCTGGTTAAAATTTTGAGATTAGCGACTGTACGATAAATAAGTCCCGCTGTTTTAATAATGTTTTTTTCAGCAACCTTAATTCATGCAATGTTATTGTTGATACAAATAGTGCTCATTCATAGTTCACTGGGACCTAGCCTTCTACTTGAGTTCAGAACATCGCGGTATAATTTATTAAATGCGGAGTGCTTTCCATCGTTTGTCGCCCTGCCGTCTCCCTCCCAGAGTCCAAAGCGGTGAGCGGCGTCCCATCACTGACCACGACCACCTCAGTGATATCAAACCACTGTTTACTAATGGTCCAGAACAGCCGGCCGGCCCTGTCTGACACGATATTGGCCCGATAGCGGGACAGGAATAGACCGCCTCAGAGGGTCCCGCGCGAGTTCGGTTGTTTGGACACGACTTTTCTAATGTTTTACAGCGATGCCTGTCATTGCCATCGGACTTTAAACGATAACATGGAATTCTTAACATAATTCTGGAAATGCGATGCTACAGACAAGCTAACCGTGAAATGATACGATTTAGTTTCCTATAACGATAAAAATTTTTCATACAGGATAAAGACAACTCCCTATTCCATTACCACAGGATAGTTGCCAGCAGACGCCTGTGACGGGTGTAGTGAGCCACTCAAGTGCGGCACCTCTGATTATCAGAGAGAGACCCACCAGTGCCACCCAGTGACTCACAAGTGCGGCGCCAGGGCCACCCAGTCCTTCCCTAGTTTGTGGGTAGAAACTCACCAAAGTGCGGTGCCAGTGATAATATTATTCAGTGAACTCACCTAAGTGCGGTGCCAGTGATAACATTATTCAGTGAACTCACCTAAGTGCGGCGCCAGTGCCACCCAGTCCTTCCCTAGTTTGTGGGCGATGTCCGTTATCCGAATATCCGCCCGGTGGATCTCCGGCCGAACTGAAACACGGGGAACGAAATTTTAGTGAAATACTGAACACGGGGAACGAAACTCAGAAAATCGCTTAACAGCAAAATAGCACGCTGCCTCGAGACACAATTGAGCCTAGCGAGTGCTTTATCGAATTATGAGGTTATAAAGCTACCAAAATTTATAAGCATCATCAGGAACGATTGTCTCCCCTCCGTAACTAGCCTAGCCGCCCGATACTGCGCACAGTCAGGGGTATCCCCCTCTCTCCCCTCTCTCCCCGTAACTGATCTAGCCGCCCGATACTCCGCACAGTCAGAGGTGTCAGTCTCTCTCCCCTCCCTCCCTCTGTCCCCCCTCCCTCTCCCTCTCTCTCTCTCTCTCTCTCTCTCTCTCTCTCTCTCTCTCTCTCCCTCCCTCTGTCCCCTCTGTAACTGACCTAGCCGCCCGATACTCCGGACAGTGAGCGGTGTCAGCCGCTGTCGCAGCAGCTCGCTGTCCGCCGATACATCAGCCTCGGGACAGATGTCGGCCGGCAGCTGGATGTTCAGGTTGCAGATGGGAGGCTGAGGCGCGTCCTGGCGGGAGAGCTGTGAGGGAGGGAGAGGGGTCAGATCGGAGGCTGCTGCGCGTCCTGACGAGAGAGCTGTCAAAGGAGGAGCGAGGGTCAGCGAATACCATAGAGGAGACAGAAATAAAGAATCTGCTATCTGTGCGTATTAAGTGATCTTACCATTTAAAATTCAACATCCGAAATGAATCGATCCGGACGTATTCCGTTTTTTTTTCAGACGTAACAAGCTACAATTTTTTTTTCACGATGACGACCTCTTGAAAAGAAAACAGACAACGAAAACGACACACTGGTCAATTCTCGGCAACAAAAGACGGAAAAGGTATCATTCAATCAAAGATCCTCCAAACTACATACTACCAGCCAAAAGGAGATCTGTGTCCGCAACAGCTAGTCTTCACTGTGTACACTAGACAGGGAACACTAACAGAGCAGTGTTGGTAGCGATACCACAGGCATCCGCACCTTTTTCTCCCGCATGAAGGCGACGCGTCCCATGGGCTCCTGGGTGTGATCCTTGACGCGCATATTGAACGGCATCCGGTTCTCCCGGAAGCTGTAGAAGTTGAAGTTGAGCTGGTCGCCCGATTTGGTGACGGGCAACAGGTTTCCGGCAAACTCCAGGTACAGAGGCTTACCCTCGAGCACCTGTGGGGCGATCACGGGTAGCGTCAGATCACTGGCAGTTTTCAGTTGGGTCACAGCCAGTTCGGTCAGAAGCCAGCGTCAGCTCAGTACTAGAAGCGTTAAAAATGTCGAAACTAGAATTCAAATGCTATCCCGGTCAACAAAAAACTCACGTTACCTAGGGGATCATTCACTCCCTTCTCTGCTCATCCAAATATCATCCTTCCCAGCAAAGCAATCCCAATGGCCTCTCTGTTTCAGAGGGTCATATCACCTCGACCCCTCCCCTCTCAGTCCCCTATCTCCCGCCGCGCGTCTCTGACCTCGACGTCTCGGCTCTTGGCGACCTCGACGAAGTGCTCCTGCTGCTCCAGCGTCTTCTCCTCTTTGTCGTCGGTCATGCAGAACACGCGTACCCGGCCCTCGAGCGGGTCGTGACGCTTCGCAAACACCACAAACCTGCGGAGAAGGGGAGGGGTCAGACAGGTCCCGACAGCAGCGGACCTCACAGAAGCCAGGGGAGGGATGAGTGACGCTAAAAAGCCGCAACAAATGTGATTAAATCAGGAACACCAAGAAAGTATCGAGGGCAAGATCAACAAAGAATAGATGACGCCGTTCGCTAGCAAGTGGTACATTTTCGGAGCTTGCGTAAGCACTTACAAAAACAGACACGCATTCAACAATGATCGCCAGCTAGCACGCCCGTCTCCCCCATTAGCCATCATAAACAGGAAGGGGAACGAAGGCGCCCATTCCGTCTCCCCATCCCCAGCACCACTCACTTGGCCATGAAGGGCACGTGGATGGCCTCCTTGTAGAGCTCGGTGGCCCCTCCCTCCCCTCTCCCAATACCACTCACTTGGCCATGAAGGGCACGTGGATGGCCTCCTTGTAGAGCTCGGTGGCCCCTCCCTCCCCTCTCCCAATACCACTCACTTGGCCATGAATGGGACGTGGATGGCCTCATTGTAGAGCTCTGTGGCCCCTCCCTCCCCTATCTACCACTCACTTGGCCATGAAGGGGACGTGGATGGCCTCCTTGTAGAGCTCGGTGGCCCCTCCCCTCTCCCAATGCCACTCACTTGGCCATGAATGGGACGTGGATGGCCTCCTTGTAGAGCTCGGTGGCCCCTCCCTCCCCTCTCCCAATACCACTCACTTGGCCATGAATGGGACGTGGATGGCCTCATTGTAGAGCTCTGTGGCCCCTCCCTCCCCTATCTACCACTCACTTGGCCATGAAGGGCACGTGGATGGCCTCCTTGTAGAGCTCGGTGGCCCCTCCCTCCCCTCTCCCAATACCACTCACTTGGCCATGAAGGGCACGTGGATGGCCTCCTTGTAGAGCTCGGTGGCCCCTCCCTCCCCTCTCCCAATACCACTCACTTGGCCATGAAGGGCACGTGGATGGCCTCCTTGTAGAGCTCTGTGGCCCCTCCCTCCCCTCTCCCAATACCACTCACTTGGCCATGAAGGGCACGTGGATGGCCTCCTTGTAGAGCTCTGTGGCCATGGCGGTAGCCTCTGTGACGTTACGGCAGTCCATGAGCCAGAAGCGCGCAGAGACCGTGGTGGTGAAGCTGACGCAGTCGTTGACGAACGTCAGCGGCGTGCTGCCCGTCACGTCCTCCCACTGGGCGCGCGTCGTGCCACCTGCACGTGGGGAGACGTCAGAACAGGGGGTACCAGGAGAGGCAGTAGTCACAGCAGTACAGGGAGTGGCAGGAGCGGCTCGCGTCGTGCCACCTGCACGAGGCGCAGCGTCAGATAGAAGGTTCATACCGGGAGGACAGTGGGTCACACACAGCTGAGGACAGGGGGAGCAGACGGTCAGTGGCAGGAGGGGCTCGCGTCGACCATCGGCGCGCGGTACTCGGTCGGAGAGGGGGTAACAGGAGAGGACAGAGGGTCAGAAAAGGAGGCAACGTCATCTGCACCGGGTCTTCAGGCTGAGCTGAAGATTTGGAACGAGTCAGAAAAGGCGTCGAATGGAGGACGAGGTTGAAAGGGCGGCCAGGAAAAAACACATGGCACCTGACATAGGAACGGCAAGGTCTAGATATGAGCTGAGTTATTCTCTCAGGCCAGTCCATAAATTACAGGACCACGGCGGAAGATGGGGCTCTAGGGATGTTACCTAGAGAGCCCGAATGAAGCAGTAAAAAGGTAAATCACAAGATAAAAAGGTAAAGAAAGGTATATCAAGATAAATGGCCAAGAAAGGTAAATCACAGATAAAGTGTCACTGATAGAGAGGTCAATCGGCAGCCAGAGCCGCGGTGACTAGGCAGTAGCCTCGATTGAGCCAGACCGCGCCAGAGATCACCTGCATGTTGATTCAGGGTGAAAGAACTAAAAATCCCACGTGTTTCAAGCAATGAAACAATGCCGTTTCTCGGCATCTGGGGTAACGTGTTTGATTTATCAAAGAGGCAATGAACATTGACATTAGCGACCCAAGGTTGGATTCGGCAGCAGAAGCCAAAACAAAACCTTATTTTTTATGGGCTCATGTGGCCCGTGCATTGCAGACTTGCAGCTCTAGTGAAAAAATAGGATGGGGAGCGGAATGATCAATGATATGATGGAATGAAAAGGGATTACGAAAATGACATGGGTAGAAAAACAGCAGATCAGATTCACCTATAGGAAAACACACCATCGCATTGTCAGGAATCACACGTTTCGGGCGTCCATACGTTCTATTCCCGCGGAATGCAGTAAATGCACGGTGCACGTCACGGCGGCAGGCAAAGCGAGCGGAGCATACCGCGCGTACAGCCCGCCGGGCCCGGTCTCCGGCGCCCGCGGCCGGTCCCTGTGTACTGGGGAACTGAGGACGGCATGCTCGCACTAATACGGCGTCTCTCTCCGCCCTGACAGAGGAGCGACGGGCGTGTCCAATCTAATACGACCCAGTAATTGTGTGTAAAGTTCACAAACAGGACAGAACCAGTGGAAGACTTCAGTGGATACTGGCGCATGGAATCCCTAGACAGGAATGGGCCGCTTTTCATGTCACGATTCGCTCATCTTCTTAGCACTACCTGGATGAATGAGAAGTGTGACACCTTTCAAGTCAAATTTATTAGCACTATCAGCAAACTGGGCAACAGCAGCACGTTATTCCGGCCCTGTTTGACGGCTTTAAAAATAATCCATAAGGACTCCTCGGAACAATGTTAGATATTTTACAGTCCGTTTCCTATCACTCTCAGCTGAACCCTCCTACACCTCCCCAGGGGGTCTGGGTGGGGATCGCCCCCCCCCCCGTCACCTGCGCACACAGACAGGCAGACAGTCGCAGCAGCCGCACAGCCATGCTCAGTGCTCAGCCATGCAGCACACGCAGCCAGCTCAGCGGGCGCCGCGCGCCGCACCGCCCCCTCTCCGCCCTCAGGGCGGGGTCTCGGCGCCCCTCTACTGACCACGCCCTCTGGGCGGGGCCTCTGCGCGTCTAGGGCGGGCGGGAGGGCCTACAGAGGCCCCATGCACGCGGGGAGGCTAGGAGGGCACACCGCAGCGCCTTCTGACCCTACTGAGGGGGGAGGAGTCATGCCGGTACCAGGCGGGTCAGGGTCCCACACCATACCTAGCGACGCCATAAAGGACTCTAAATGGGGGGATTTTTTACTACTTCAAAGTTAGAAAAATATTCAGCATCAACAGCTGTATATTTTTAGAGTTAGGTTGTTGAAAATACGAAAGAAGTGTGACGATAATTTCCCAAAAGTGAGAAATATCACGCATCATCGTAAATCAATAAAACGTCTTGCAGGATGCCTCAAAATTTGCAAAAATGTCTTGGGAAAATCTGGCATCCTAGTATTAATCAAAGGAAAATATCACAGGAAAATTATAAACTTGAAGCTTAAATAAACAATGGTTAAAGATAATTTAACCAAAGTCTCCCGCTGTTATAACTGGCAACTGTTTTCCCTCTGGCTATATAAAAAGTGTCCCGGGGGTCTGGCCAGGAAACGTGGCTGTACCGTTCACCAAGCTACTGAAACTGAGAGATCGACCTCAGTAGAGACCAAGGAGGTCCCTGCTGTCCCCCCCCCCCCCCCTCCCCGCGGGACCCAAACCAAACAGAACCAACTGAAGAGCGACGCGCCGGCACGGGGGCCGACCTGAATCGACCTCTACCGCCGCCGGAAAGCCAGGGAGACCCGCGGCATTCGACGGCGCGCCATACCGGGGAATGGTCGGCCATACCGGGGAATGGGGGATATCCGCCATACCGGGGGAATCGGGGAATGGGAGGCGAGATTCCATGCGCCGCAAAAACAATCAAAACGACAAAATGAACAAGTGAGGCAGAGACAGAGATATGTGGATGAGAAAACAGCGCAGAAAATACAAGTATTCGATGCCCACCTTTGAGAGATCTTTTCCGAAAGATTCCTTCGCGGGAAACACAAAGACTGATGTTAGTGAGGGATATAGAGGGAGCGGAGAGTGCCCCTGTGTCACTAGCTGGTGGGGAACAGCCAGGGTTCCTGCCCACCCCTCTACAGAGCGGCCCGCTACCCGGCCTATACCGCGGCGGCCCGAGCCGGTACACCTCACTGACCGGCCGACTAGTTACTCTAGCTAGGGCTCAGGCACTAGATAGTCACATTCGAGTCTCCACATCTCCGGGTCCAACTAGGGCGTCTGCTCCGGCCGGGTCTGCCCGGCTGAGTCTCTACCTAGGGGCCAGGGGTCACTACCCGACAACAGGGCTCATCCAGGGCGGTTTATCCTGACTACAGGTCCGACTGACGACGGGCCCGGCGCCGGTTCCGGCTCCGGCGGGGCGGGGCGGGGCGGAGGGACCCTTCCCTGGACCGGCCGTGAACACGGTGGCGCCACTGAGTCTCAAAGAGCCACCACCAAGAGCGGGACGATTTGGCGGCGCCGAGAAACGGTGGGCGGCGGTGCAGAGGCAAACGACGCGCACGAGAGAAAACCGCCAGAAATCAAACGAATTTCACACAACAGCGCCGAAATGACGAGAACAGAGGGAGGCGCGGCAGAGCACGGAAAAAAGGCGAAAGCGAAGCCGATACCGATAACATTGAAAGCAGACCGGTGGGCGGGGCGACAACCGGGCTCCGGCCGCCGCCACACGCGGAACAACCCGCCCTCGTCAGAAGACATCTATAGGGAGGCGCGTGAGCCGAGGGTTTTAGACGTGAAGTCTGAGCACCCTCACCCACACGCCTCCACAGACGGTTCTTTGACGAGGGGCCGGTGTTTCCGCTGTGGCGACCAGCCAGCTGTTTTCGCCCCGGGATCGGCCCCTCCCGGTGGCGGGTGTGTTTGGGGGAGGAGGGGAGGCGGGGGGAGGAGGGGAGGGTCCCGCGCCCCTCACCTGTTATCGAGCACAACAGTCTCAAGGTGGGAGCGTCGCCGCTGTACTGGTTGATCATGCCCTTGGCGGCCGCTTGCGGCACCGGTATCGTCAGAGTTATCGGCTGAAAAACAGACGGGGGGCAGGCCATGGGTCAACAGTGGGAACTTAGCAAACATCGGCAGGCAGGTGGCAGACTGAAGATGAGCGTCAATGTACGATTAGCCGAGACATTAACCATATCTTAGAAATCGGATCCTCCAGTTTTTATATCTGCCGCACCAAAGCGTACTATAGCCAAACAGGGTTCGCTCTTACATTCAGTTTTCAATTCACAAATCTCGCTGCCCTTTTAGCTCCTGTTGCTTATCAATTACCTAGTCCCTCCCCACTCTTCCCTCTCGAAGGTCTCGCTGCTCAATTTCCCCTACCACGGCCCCTCTGCCCTCCATCCTTCCTCCTTTCCCTGTAATCGACATCACCTTGTGGAATTTGCGCCTGCGAGGCTCTATGGTGACGATCGGTGAGACGGGGCTCTCTCCCTACCCCAGCCCTTCTCCCCCCTGTCCTAGTTCTCACCTTGTGGAATTTGCGCCTGCGGGGCTCTATGGTGACGATTGGTGAGACGGACCCTCTCCCTACCCCAGCCCCTCTCCCTCCCCACGTTCTCACCTTGTGGAATTTGCGCCTGCGGGGCTCTATGGTGACGATTGGTGAGACGGACCCTCTCCCTACCCCAGCCCCTCTCCCTCCCCACGTTCTCACCTTGTGGAATTTGCGCCTGCGGGGCTCTATAGTGACGATTGGTGAGACGGCCACCCGGTTCCCGAGTAGTTTGGCCACCAGCTCCGGTGGGATCGGCTGCGCCTGCGAGAGGGACCGACCAGCGCGTGAGGGCGGGTCAGAGGTCAGGGTGGTGTCCCGTGTCACACCGAGGTCAGGTCAGGGTCAGGGTGGTAGTCAGTAGGTCAGGGGTCGATAGGTGGGCTAGGGTCAGGTCGGGGTAAGACCTAGGTCAAGAGGGCCGTCAGTAGGTCATCTGGATCTGGTGTTAAGGGTTAGAAACATTCGTCGGTATCAGGGGTAAGAAAGCTGATTGTAGATCAGCTGGTGTCTGGGTCAGGGTTAAAGATGACATCTGTAGCTCAGGTCAGGGCGTCGAGGGTGGTTTTGGGCCAGGGGTCAGAGGTCAGATCAGGGTGTCGTGTGTAGGTCGGATGGGGTCAGGAGTGTTGTCTTCAGGTTAAGGTCAGGGGTGTGGTCGATGGTCATGGTCGGGGATGTCATGCATAGGTTGGCAGTGTCCGATGTTATACGGGAACACGACACAGTCCAGAGGTCAGTGACATCGCTTTTCGGATCCCGCTGTGTAGGCTCACCAGCGATAGACTTCTCGGAGGGAGGTGCACTGATGATGAGCATATGAGAAGCTGACAGCGGCTAGAGGCCTTCTTTCCCGCTTGGGCCTAGACGTTCTAAAAGTGTATGTCTTTTGGATTAGGAAGGCACGTCAGTGTGAGCCTGATGGAAATAAGGATATTATTTACCGTAAGCTTGAGCTCTGACTAGCTCAATTTTGAGCAGGGCGCCCAGCTCAATTTGGAGGATCTGCCAATTCCACGGCGCACTTAACTGCCATAACTCTGATTTTGAGTAACTACTGGCCATCAAAGCAGGACAAAACAATTTCACAGCACGTTTAGGTTGATGCCGCTAATATGACAAAGCCACGGCCAGGACTGCAGGGATGCGTTGTGAGTGTGATCAGCCATGGTACAGTGGTTGGTGTTAGGCATGCATTTAGTGAGTAAAAAGGGGCACACCTACCTGATGTTAGTCGGAAGCCACCACCGCCGCGTCACCCATCCGGATATCGAGCTCCAGACCTCCCCGGAGTGGCCGAGTCTCCGATGCAGGCTGTGAGTGTCTGTGTCTGTGTGTGGGTCTGTGTGCTCCCCCGTTGTCCCATGGGACAGGGGTCTCCTCCGTCCCTGTCTGCTATCCATACCTATACCTCTATCATCTCACATTTGTTGCCGTGGTAAATTCGTGGACTCCAGCCGTCCCGTGAAAAGTGCTGATGTGAATTAACCCTCGCCGGCACAGGCCATTTTGCGTCCTTCAACGGCACAAGGGGGGGGGGGGTTGGTACGACCCCCCCTCGCGTTTGGCCCCTGATCGAGCTAGAGCTTCGCGGAAAAAAAAACGAGCGTGTTGCCCGTCACGAGACGAAGCCGATGATACCCAATTTTAAGGTCCTAGGTCATCGGGTGACCTTCCAGGTCAGGTCAATGACCCGAAAACCGGGAAAATCGGGACCTGTTAGAAAGTCGTAAAGTGTGGCTGTTATGTGGTTTTCTGGGGTGCTGATCACGAATATCGTGTAAGTTTTGATCAGAGATGATGTCTTCAAGCATTTAGACCAGGTCGGGTCAGGTCAGGTCAGGTCAACCGGTAGGGGTTGTGACGGGTATTCGTAATACGTGTCAACCGTCTCTGACAGCTTCGTAACATGTTACGAAGGCACCAAAACTACGTCGTAAATGTTCAAATGGTTGTTAAATTCGAATTCAGCTCCAAAAACTAGCCTAGAAACATGTAAAACTCGAAAAAGTGAACCGAGGTCACCCGAGGTCACCAAAGGTCAATGACCTGACCTGACCTTCAGGTGACCTTGACACCCACCCTAATGTATGGGAGCAACATCAAATCACATGTTTGAACGTTTGAAACCACGAAAAGCTTGCAAACGCGCGGCTAATGCGAGCCGACGTACGCCGAATCGCGATTCCGGCCAAACATGGTCTCGGAAAAGAGGTCACAGGTCGAAGGTCATTTGGGTCAGGGTCATGAAATTTTCAGGGTAGGTGTAAAGTTGATCAATGCGAGGGTACTGAAAGTTTCGTCGCGATCGGCCGCTTTTTACGCGAGTTATTCGCGAAAAAACCTTAGGGGGGGTTGCATCAACCCCCCCCCTGTGCCGGCGAGGGTTAATGTCTGATGTATCCGCCATTCTACCAGCTCTCTCGTGAAATGTGCGCTGCTATGTATTCGGCGTGGATTATGTCTCCTACAAACTATGTGGGCATCCAAGCAGTCATTCCGATTCGTAATTATAAGCAGATATATGTATTAGAATTTATCTTCTGTTATTCGGTAGCACATTGTAAATACAAAACCGTTATCATGTAACACCTGCGTTCGAATTGCTGTTAAGGTGTTCAATGGGTTAAGTAAAAAACTTGGCGCCTACGTGCTCGGTAACTTCTATTTGTTACTATTCAAGCTACGGCACACGTTCGTCTACGCTCCGAATAAGCCTTTATCCGCATAAATCTAAAGGCTTATAAGGCTCAAGCTTCCTATAAGCTCGCTAAACAAAATCGTACAACGGCATCTGGTCGTTATCCAAGGTTGAAGTGTACCGTGTGTTCTGTGTCTGCCGTGCTGCCGTGTTGTATGTCTGTGTGTCGTTCCTCCACCGTCTCCGCTCCACCACCTCTCTCCTCCTCCTCCTCCGCCACTCTCTCCTCCTCCACCCGACAGGCACATGCAGGGCTCGAAGTGGCCGGAACCGGGCAAATGCACTCATTAAGCAGCGGCCAGCTACCGTAAGCCCAATAAAGTTAGAGGCGGCTCCGCGGCTATCCGGCGGCTCGGTCAGCTCGCCGTGGTTAGAACCGGCGGGTGATGGACAAAACAGTTAGCGGGTTAGTAGCCAGAGATGAACGGCATTTGCCTGGACCGCTTCGAGCCATGCACTGGAGCCAGAATTGGAAAAGCTAATAGACGGTTCGCTCTAAGTTTATTGGGCTTCGTTAGAGTATATACGCTAAGCAGTACGGGAGAGACATGCCAAACTGGTTAGTAGACAGTAGACAGCCAAGCGGGGCAAAGCGGTGCCCAGAGGCGGCGTCTAATCGGACGCCTGGCGCGCGACGCTTACCTGCCGTCACGGGACGCGTACAAACAGTGACGAAAACCGCGCGGCACGGGTGGGAATCGAACCCACCACCGCCGGCTGTCTCACCGGCCGCCCGCACCAGCAGGCCCCCGGGCCGCGGCGGCGTCTCAGTGAAGTTACAGTGCGCCGGACGGCCGGTAGATGTCGCCTCTGGGCGGCGCGGGCCGACCAAACACGGGTCCCTCACAGCGCCAGGCTGATATAGGAGCTGGACCAGTAGCGGCCCAAACCGAGCGACTACTGCCCAGAGAGCCGCCGCACAGTGGGCACACACACAGACCCGCGCGGGGGGCGCGGAACATCTACAGCTAGCGGAGCGGCCGCCGAACGTTCACCGCTGTCCAGCGCCCACCGCACACCCACAAAATATATGCCAACGTACCTCAACCCTCCCCGCCCGCCCTGCGCGGCACCCACACCCACACACCGCGGACAGCGGCGCGGCGGTGCGCTTGTGACAGGTTAGGCCTTGCTCCCGGTGCCGACTTGTACTGCAAGGAAAGGCACGGCCGCCGGGCCGGACAGGGCCGCGCGCCGGGCGCCCCGCCTCAGGAAGCATGCGCGTTAGAGCATGCAGCGCAGCGCCGACGCGTTGCTATGGTTACCGGCGCTCACAGTGGCACGTCGCCCGCGGTTACGGTTAGAGAACACCCGAACACATGCTGCGGCGGCAGCGGCAGCTGAGAAATTTGTGCGCCGTAGAATACATGGTCAGTGATGCAGGATAGGACAGGGAAATGTGGAATGTATTCAGGAAATAAGAGCAGGAACACAATGAACACGAACGCTCCAACAGCGAGACACCCTCACACGAACACGCCGAAAATAAATACACAAATAAATAATTAGAAATAAATAATATCGCAGTGTTTCACGGCACGCTGTGCTGTCAGATCTCTGAGATTCCCGTTACGTATGAGTGGCTCGCCACCCTCTGAGATTCGGTCAGATCTGGGCCGTCTGGGGCCGACCTGCACCCTGACACGGGGACGCTCCCCGATACACAGACAGCGGCACCGCCCCGCTGCAAACGCGGCGGAGTGGCGGGCCAGGACCGTGTAGAGCCGTAATCTGGTCCCGAGACTCTGGGACAGGCTGGGCCGGACCGCCGAAGGGACCACGCTGGTCCCGTACCCCGGGACAGGCTGGGCGGGACCGCGCGGCCGACGGGACCACACTGGTCCCTGGGACAGGCTGGTCCGGACCGCGCGGACGACGTGGGACAGGTTGGGCCGCTATCACATCCCAACCCTCACTGAACGGCGTTCATATCCGATACTGAGAGACAATCGCATGATACGAATAAATACGGGAATAAATACTGCAATAAATAAAAAATAAATAGTGACTTAGAAACCCTGAGGAAACAGGATGAGTGACTAGAATTGCGACTTGAGTAGCTCATAACTAAAAAAAAAAAAACGTAACTTCGTTCCCGTCCGTAAGTTAAGGACTAGAGACAACACAGAAATGATTCCTTTCTCCTCCATACAACTTTCTGTACATTTGGCCTTTGCTAGACCCTGCTTTTCCGTAGCCATTCGCTTTAAAAATATGCACAATGTCTCCTTTTTGAGCCTACACTGTGTTTCCCTCATCAAAGTGTGATTCATGGACAAGGTAAGGACCGAAGTCTGGTGATTTTTTTGCGAAAAACGCCGACCGAGAGGATCGCCGGGCGATGCCTGCGGCTCACGGAGCCCTTCGACCCGGCGATCAATCAGCTGGCCTCTTCCGCAGGGCACCAGGGGTCCGAAAACCAGCACCCAACTCCAGCTATCCGCGCGCCGAGCTAAACCACCAACAAAAAGGAACCAAATCTTACCAGATTCACCCCAAATTTCGCCCGGTGAATTCCACCAATCACCTCTCCCCTACAGTCCTCCCTCTCCCCACCCCTCTGTCTCAGCGGCTCGGCGCGGCGCTCTAGCCGCGCAGTGCTCCGTTTCCGTCCAGTATTCCGTCCACGTGCACCACCTCGAGGTCGCTCTCGGAGCGGCGGCCCAGCCTGCCCAGACACCCTCACCAGATGCGACAGAGCCGCTTCTTTTTGGGGACCAGCGGCGGCGCCTGCTGCTTGGCGGCGGCCCGCTCCCGGCGCCGTCGGAACGGGTTGGTTACCTGAAGGCCGACCTTGATCTTCTTGGTGAGGGCGCCCGGCTGGAAGACGGCCTGCACCTGCGGCACCACCGTGCTAGACACCATGCCGCCCTCCGTGCCGATCGCGTGCACCTGGTGGAGAGGGGCGGGGAGGTCAGAGAGCGGCATTGGAGGCAACAACAGTAACGAAGTCTTTATTAGAAAAAAACACTTATTGAAGAGCCATAAACTAAGGGCTCCAGATATGTCTTACGTCATGCTACCAATAGATTCAAAGAAAAAAGATAACGGCCACCTTACAAGTAACATCACCAGAACCATACCATCCTGAGTAATTACGTCATGTGAAGCGTTCATTTAGAGCGGCGAAAAGTGCCCTCAATGCAGTACGGTATGGTACGATACGGCAAAAGTCCTGTCCGGCCCACGAGGTCTCACCTCCTGGCGCAGTCGGCTGACGATGGCGAAGTACTGGGGGAAGTCGGTGGTGACGATGCGCGTGATGCGACTCGTGTTCAGGTCCTCCAGCTGCTTCAGCTCTGTGGAAGGACCGGCGGGGTAGACATAGGGTCAACGGAGCATGAGCGTGACCGTCCCAATGTCCCAGAGACATTCAGAAGAAAGAACGACAAGGGACTAGCGGGATCCTGCTGCTGCGGCTGGGTTGGCGTTACACCCAGGCCACAGCTCTTCCATTCTCAGCTTCCCATTCCCTCGTACAGAGCTCCCTTCCCAATCTAATCTGCTTCTCAATTATGCTCCCCCGTCTTCCGATATCTCTCCCATCCTCTCACCGTCTCCGTCGAAGCTCTCGTTCAGCACCTCCTGGACGGCCTCCTCGGAGGCCTCCAACGTGTGCTCCTTCCACGTCTCGCCGTTGTCGGAGCGCAGGATGACAATCTCCCGCTCCCGACCGCGCAGAGACGCAAAGTGCGGCACCTCGATTATCACCGGTCTGTGTGGGAAGGGGTTAGAGGGATGATCGAAAATGGATACAAGAGTTAAAGTCAAGATGAGGAGATGAGATGTAACCAAACGATAAACATTAGATAGTGACGGAATTCAAGCTCTATTGCAGCAGAAGGACGCCACCATTGGTGAGGGATCAGGTCATAAACCAAGGGCAGGCGACAGAAACAAACACTCTGACATTTCAGCAGTCAACTAATCACACTTCTTTACTTCATTCATTGCGATTTTATAAAATAACGGGCAATTTAAGCCCATCATAAATCTGGCAAACGACCCGAATCCATTCGTGTAGAATGAATGCTGATTGGTGGTCCCAAACTGCCGACCACTTATACCAATGGTCGACCTGAACCCGGCCAGGCGGGCTGTAAATCGTGCCTCAGTCCGCTCCAGTCCCCGGCACATCCCCCGGGACTGCCCCCGCCGCCGTCACTCACCCGAGGAACTTGGCCTGCGCCGGGCCCATCTCCAGGATTCGGCTGGCGATGGCCTCGCCCTCCATCAGCGGCGGTGGGTGCAGCAACTTGTCCTTCTTCAGGTAACTGGTAGATGGCAGCACGGGCGACGTAAACAGGCAGCAGTCAACAAACGGCGCAACAGCGACAGGCCGCCGTTGGGGGCGAAGTAACGTAGTATTCACAACAAAAAAAGGTTTTTGTGAGTAGGATAATTTTATTAGTAACGAAAACGCATGTAAGAATCAAAACATTAGGTACAATCGTAACAAAAGAACAATAAATATCATCATGTAAAACTCCTGAACAATAACAGGACCGACAAAATATGTAAATATTTGAATAGTATAATCAGTATACGAAGGAGCATTCGACTAAATATCAGTAAAGTATTAACGAAAAATCCGTAGCATCATCACAAAACAACACGTTCCACGGAACCCAAGAGAGGTGGCGGGGTCAACACAGGTCAGAAGAGGTCAAAGACGGAAACCAGCGGGCGGTAGAGAAGGATGACAGAGCGTAGCGGATCGACTCTTGTAGGACGGAGCTATCGCTTTCGGCTTTCCAGCTGGCTCGTTTGGGCTTCCATCAAGATGGGCATGAGGATCGATCAGGTTTTCCTGGAAAGGAGCGAAGACGAGGAACTGTGTAAGGTAGGAATTCAAACACAAAGTTTTTGACGTAACAGGGCTCACGCACCTAAACAACTTTATCCCACGATCTGTAGACGATCCAAGTCATCCCACGCCTGTTCTCATAAGCAGCGAACTATGAGTTTCAATTAACTAAATCACCTGCCCCCGCAGTCTAGCTCTTCCCTCCCTCCCTCTCCGAACTCTCACCCTCTCCCCTAATGACTCTCTTTCCCTCATCACTCACCGGCAGGTGATCCTCATGGGCTGCGCCGCCTTCCGGGGCGGCACGATCACCCTCACCCCCGAGTGGCGACACCCGCGCATGGCGCCACCTCGCGCGTCAACCATGAAGCTCACCAGGAACCTGCGCCGCGCGCATAGGTGGCGTCAGTGACAGGTATAGGTGGCGCTCCGGTAGTATAGGGGGCGGTAGGGAGGGTTGCCGATAGATGGCGCTAGTAAAGCCATGGCCTCAAACCTAGCAGTGTTATCAATTGTGTTAATCTTATCTTCAATTAGGAGAACTATGTGAGTAATATGCACGTTAAGTTGACATTTGGGGCCCGCACGTTTTACTAGCTTGCTGTCCTAAAATTGTTTTTGAGTTATTGCCGTCCCTAAGGCAAATAGTCTAAGGGGTGTCACGCCTAATTTTCACTCATATTTGATGCATTACCGTTTAATTGGCAATGGAAACAAAAATCCTTTTGAAGGTCTTCACAAGATTGGAAAATAAAAACGTAAGAACTTAATTGTTTCTAGAATTCAATAATTGGTCTAGCAACATCTCACTATGGTGTTCTAACTTCTGCACTCTATGCTTAATCTAGACAACTCTACATCTAGTTTCGTTAGTCTGCCTACATGGCCCGGGACGAAGCGGTTAGGCCCAGCGGACCACCGGAAGCAAGACCATACCGACATCTATAGTCCAAAACATCAACTAAAGTACCATCCAGAAACTAGGTACTCTCACGCATTCACAGGACCACGGTCATTCGGACATCCAACCCGAGAAACAGTCACATGACCGACCCAACAGGCATGCATACGTGATGTGCAACATAACATTTGACTTGTAACTCGAACATTGACGATAAAATAAAAAAATCCAAAGCAAGAACTATACACTATCTCAGAGAATACAAATAACTGAAATCAATCAGTGACATTCGTCGAAATAAACGATAATCAAATAGCATAGCGCGTTGTAAAACGCAACTTAACCGGCATACCAGCATCCACCAACATAAGTCCCGCACCGGTACCCAAGCTGAAAGCTCCTTCGTTCGCAGCCGCGCGAAACTCCCCTTCCGCAGTCCTCCCACCCACAACACCCCTCCTCGGCCCTGATTGGTGCTCTTTTCCCGTCCCAACCAATCAGCAGCCAGCTCTCATCCCCCGACCAATGAGCGCGCAGCATTCCGTCCGCCATGCGCCCTTGACCCGGCCCGGGGCGATACTCACGACTTCCACTTGAGTTTAGGTCTGGCCGGTAGCATGCGTGGGAGCGGGGGGTTAGTCGACTTGACGGCTGCTGGGGCCGACGCGGCGGGGTCGCCGGCCCTGGGTCAGCGCCGCCCGGTCAGGGTCAGGTCAGCCGGCCGGCCGGGTCGTCACACCCCGTCACCTCCCGTCCGGTACAGACCGACGGTAGCCATCGCACCCCACCCCTACTACACGCCACACGGGCCGGCAGCTTCACTCGGAGCTCACCGGACAAGCAGCCGAGGACGGAGGACCGGGAGAGGTGTTAGTGGTCAGTTAGGAGCGCGATCGAACCATCGAGGACGGACCAGCGGCATACACAGCTGGCTAGCGACAACCCCCAGAGCAGCAAACCCCAGACGCATCGCAGTCCGACAAACGGTCATACTGCCCCGCGAACGGAACCAGAAACATACCTACCTTCTCGACGTCATGTCCTCCTGGTACCCCAACTTCCTGTCCCCTTCCTTCCAGGCATTCCCTTCCCACCTAACCACAGCGGCGTTTTCTCCCACACCCCAAAAAAGCTTTGACCAGCGCTCCCGAAGCGGGTGTTCTCCAGAGAGATAGCGGGTCACGTACGTTAGTCCACACGGGGTTACTCCTCCCCACATGCATGTCAGTGTCCTACCGCAGGGACTCCCTGTCTGCCAGGCAGGGCAGGCGGGCTGGCAGCACGCGGGTAGAGGTAGCCACAGCGGGCAGGAAGCTGTTAGAACTGCCCCAGCCCGGGCCGGCATGGCACGTTACCAGACTACAAGCGGCTCCGGCCCGCGCCGGCAGAGACGAGGCGCAGGGCGACACGGTGAGAAATGACGTCGTTGGCCAGTCGATGCCAATAAAAGCAAACATGATCAAGTGAAAGAGCACAATGGATGTGCATTGTTCACATTTACAATTCCCATTTTGGATGGTAGGAACTGAGAATACTATTCGTAACTTTTGACGTCATTTTTCATGCATTTGGCGCCCCCAGCCGAACGAACCGCCGGCGCGGGCCGGTCTACAGCCAGACGGCGGCGCAGGTGGCGCCACCTTTAAACGGTATACCTGCTGCGAAACATTCCCACAAAGCTAGTCGCGGTGCAACAAGAGAGTGTTGTGTCCAGGCTGTGCATGGAATTGCTGCGGGACGCAAGACACACAAACACGGCCGTCAGAGACATCTGTGGGCGAGAGCAGTCAGCAGAGGTTGCGGCCCATGCCGCCAGGGCGGCGCCACGGGCGCACCAGTAAAGTTTACGGAAGAGGTGTACAGAGAACGCTGCTAGCGAGGCGATATGTGAGACAGAAAAAGACGAAAGGAAGAATTTCAGAACAGGGGAAACGGGAAGAAATGTCTGATTCAAATTACTTTCAATTATGGCGGCTAAAAAGCGCATCTCAAGAGCAGAAATGGGTCTTTGCTTCATTTAGTTGGAATTAAATATCAAGAAGTTACTGCGTTACAGCCAAAGTAACTTGGTTAATAATTATGCTTCCCCGCAAGACATTCGACGCAAAATGTTTGAATATCGTAAGTAGGAGGGGCACTTCTGTGATGAATTATCAGTGTCTTTACGCGCAAACGGTCTAGACTAATCCCGCGTCCAATTTAAAGGCGAAGCAAGCGAATTTTGTTCGTGTTATGCTTTCCATTTATGCGTTTTCTTCCATTGCATCTCTATTTCGCTGATAATTTAAGTTAAGTGGCCTCCACCAGCACCGCAGCCAGGCCCTGGGGCGGTTAGTGTCAACCGTGGCGCCACCTATATGATATATAGGCGCCACCTATATATCTCGCCGCTGACACCGGCTCTGGGACAGCTAGTCTCCGATCACGCCCCAAAGCGGACGGAACAAACGGGACATGCCGGAGGACAACAAAAAAAGCGACGAGAATGACGGACTGTTACTGCTAGCGTTAAGGCAGTTATTGTGGCAAAATGTCATGTAAGCCGGATCTTTAGGGTAGTGAGGGGCAGCGTTCATTTTAACGGGTGTGTATGAACAGGACGCACATCAGACCAAACAATAGGGAAATGAAGAGCGAGCGAAGAACAGTGCAGGGCAAGATACGAGTGAGAGTGAATGTGGCAGTAGTTGCCAAAACAAGACGAAATATTTGCTCGAATGTAACACAAAAGAGAAATGATAAGAGCAAGCAAAAATGTAAATATTGTAAAACACATACAACAAAAGGAAAAAGCTAGCAATAAATTAAAACAGAACACAAGAATGTTGAGTCAAGAAACAAACAACACCGAAAGGCGGGAGAAACAAACATAAGAACAATGAAAATAATCACAATATGCAGGTGATGTGTAACTTAAATGTGGCATATACTACATAAAGCATATACAGAGGCAGTTACAAAAATCTTCGCCGCAGCAGAGCTTAAATATACCTGCGGAGGAGCAGCAGAGTGGGCGTTTAAAGTTCCTGGGAGGGCCATTGGCCAGATCCCTGCCCAGTGCCCGACCACCACCAACTACCAGCACCGCCAGTGTCCAATCCAGCCACCCACCACCCACTGCGCTCCCTCCACCTCTGTATACCGGCACCCGCCGCTCCCACCACCGCTGACACGCCCCTAGTTTGTACAGCCCGCCTCCACGTCCGGCACAGCGCCGGTACTGCCACCTGGCGGCGCGACGGTGCTGCCACCGCGCGGCGACTCACCCGGCGGTGACTGGCGAGCGCGAGATGTCCACGTTGTCGGGCGCGAAACTGCCCGTGAACTGGGCGTACGACTCTTTGATCTTCTGCGGCGAGATGGTCTCCTCAACGGGAGGAGCCGGGCTGATCCAGTCTGTGTGCAAAGTGGAAACGGGTGGTCAGTGACCGGCCCGGGAATTACAACAACGGTTTAAACTGAAATGTGAATAACATTTTACAGAAAACCAAAAGCTAAAAGCTGAAAAAGAAACGGTCCAATGATCACAACGATCCCTATGGTATATTTATGATACTATTCCCAATTGACAAATGTGATTCTGAAATGCTTTGCTATGATATCGTAGAAGCATTGACGAGCTCATTTGAATGTTTTTTCCTCAATAATTTCACAAGTCGCTGAGAACTCCAGCTCTATCAGACCCTCACCCTATTCAAATATCCCCAGTGACTCCCGCTCATCATGGGACCATCCCTAAATCGCCTCAAAATACCATCCCTTCCTCCCCCATTCAAACAAGCACCGGCCTACCGGCCCCGCTATCGTCCTCGCGCACTGATGCTCCCTCTGTAACTGACCGGTGTGGAAGTCGTGCGAGCGGTCAAAGAACTCGTCCCGGGAGACGTCCATGGGCATCGAGTCGTCGCCGAGCGACTTCATTTCGTCCACGGTGAGGTACTTGTACGTGGAGTCGCCGGCTGGCTGGTCCTCCGCTGCGGGGTCAGAGACAGGTCACACGGGGTCAGATACAGGTCACAGGGGGTCAGATACAGGTCACGGCGATCAGATACAGATCACAGCGGTCAGATACAGGTCACGGCAGTCAGAGACAGTTCACAGCGGTCAGAGACAGGTCACAGCGGTCAGAAATGTCACAGAAGATAGACAGACACAGAGCTCACGACGGCATGTGGAGTTATATGGGGATACATGAGAGTAACGTACATTGAGTTTTTTATCCCACTCGTTCCATCAGCTCTTCATGTGATCCCAATCCATCCATTCTCCACTGCCTCCCTCCCTCCCTCCCTGCCTCTCCCCACCACACCGGTTTGTCCCGGTTCGTGACGCCCCCCACCGGGCCCAGCTGAGACCCTCAGTATGAACGGCCGTGCCGTCCGATACCCGGTCAGAAGTGGTGGCCGAGGGCGGGCCAGTCACCCGGGGACCACCAGACGACACTCGCACCACTCCCTGCTCTGTGCTCTCCGCCACTCTACCACAGCATCACTATCGCCATGCAGAAATGGTGTTTGGTAGCCACATTTATCATACCTTAAATTAATTCTTATGTTACACCCTATTCCCATATATAAACGAGACTAAAAACTAAGTAGGCTGTATTTCTCTCCTCGAATAACAGTTTTTGTGGACATCTCACTGTGACTTGTGCTTGGAATGCATCTCAAAAACGCACATTTTCTCCCAAACATTCCCCATAAATATAAACTCCAAGACAACGAAACCATTCCTGGATGGCCCCTCCCTCACTGAGTGACTGAAGGCACCACACCGACCACTCAAGACATTGAGGCCCTAAGCTTAGAGTCATGTCAGATCCCTTCGTCTACAATCGTCGCCTGCCCGGTCCCCTAACACGTTACTAACTGGCTGCCCATGTTCAGCTATAAATAATGCATCCTGCTGCCAACTGTCTCCAACTGGGTTACCGGTCAGTGCACGGCCCAAACCGAGAGGCCCGTGGAGCTAACCAACATGGAATTGAAACGGACCAAGCTTGACACATTAGCTGACTTCTCCCAACTGAAATGCAACGGGAAAAAGTGAGGTAGAACGCTCTCTCACCTTCAGTCAGTGCAATAGGAAGAAGGAAGGAAGTCTTCAACGTGTTGTATCTCAGAAGAGGTCAGGAGAGGTCATCGTTCGAAGGTCAGGAGAGGTCGGTAGATGATGGGATCGGGAGAAGCTAGTAGAGGTCAGTAGAGCTCAGTAGAGCGGCGAGAAGCGCAGAGGAGAGAGACACGTGGGACAGAGGTCACATCTGGCTTCACCGCCGGGCCTGGCAGAGGACCGCGTCGGAGGCCACGAAGGCATGGTCACATCTGTGGACAGGAGAGGACAGAACGACAGGGGGAGGAACAGGTCAGCGTGGTGACACGCATATTAGGACAGAGTGACAAAAGACAGGACAGGAAGGACGGGTAGACAGATGGCAGGTCAAAACGTGTGTAGCATTTAAGCAGAACAAAATATTGAACAGAATGCCAAGAAAAGATTCGTAAACCAGGTCCGCTTCGTGGACCGGACGGATATAAAATCAGCGTTTTGCGGGCAAGAGGACGCGGCGATCTCTTCGCATCAGCTTGCATCTGACCCAATGACCCCTGACCCTCCCCAGCGGCAGAGTCTGATCAGTCTGGCCTCTGAGGTCGACACCGGCCACCGCTGTACAGGCCGGCACCACACCATGACCCCGTGGGGCAGTTCGTAAACGTCCCCTAAATCTGTCCATGGACGACCGTAACCCCGGGCCACCGAACGGTCAGAGCCGGTCGGGGCCGGGGGCACGCCCCCTACATACCCGACAGTTCCACTGCAGGGCTATACCTATCCCCGCCAGTGCAGAGTCCGGGTAAAATTGCTTCATCAAAGAAATCCAAAGAGCTGCCAGTGAGTCTGGCCACGCACACCCGTGGGTCTGTTTGAGTTAATGAGGGAGGGGGACGAACAATCCCCTAGAATTCAGTTGATATGCTGTGATTGTGGCTATTTTTTTTTTTTATAAATTTAGTCCGAACCTTTTGATGGGAAGGATTCACAAGGACAGAGCCACCGCTAAGCAAAGCTTGTTGCGATGACCCTGCCCTCTACCCTCCGATCGCGCAATTCCAGTTCTATGGCAGAATTTAGAGTCCAAAGTTTAACGTGCGCACAAAGCCGCGCACGGCCGGTCCCCTCGCTGACTTCGCCTGGCTACGGCCTGCCACCAACCGCAACCATACCTGTCAGGAGGCCCATAAATGTCGAGCGCCCGTCGCGCTTCGAACCCGGACTGTCATAACCGGGAACGCGTGCTCTCACCACGCGGAGTCCAACGCTCTAACCAACTGAGCTACGGGACCGGCACCGGCTATGATTAAGCTCCTTCCCCTTTTCCCACAAACTCCTTCCTCCACCCCTCCCCTCCCCTCCCTCCCCAATCACGACCGGCCCGGAATTGCGCCGTCAGTTGTAGACAATTAGTGGCGCTCGCGTGCGCCGCGCCGCCGCAGACCGGTGGTTGCTGTGCGGCTAATGATAGTATGCCAGGGCGGCTGTCTCAGTGGAAAACAGCGACGCCCGGCGGCCGGGGGCGGGGCCTTCCAAGGGGAGCTGAGAGGCACAGGGGTCTACAGAGGGGACCGGCCGGGGCCCATTGTACTCGCAGGACTGGGCGGAGTGGCCCAGGACACCGCCGGATGTGGGTAATGGCGAGCGCTGCTTCCCCGGAAACGATATCCGAGAAAAGAAGAGAAATAACGACATGAATACGACAGATAAACAAAAAGCGGACAGCTGAAACTTTCTGACATCAACAAGGAGCATTACTGTATTCAGAGATCTCATTTTACTTCCTTTTTCAAGAGACAGCTAATGTTGCATAAATAAACAGGACAAACTATGATACCACCACACCAGAGCTGGTCGTTCCTCATTCCTCAATGCAAGATGGCACAGCTGCCTGGCAAGGAAGCTGGATTATATCGCGCCCTAGCTACGGCTGCATGACAATGATAGTGGAAATAAGCTGTCCTGGGGGCGATATATCGAGATAACCGGTACGCGCCTCACGCGTTCACCGGTCAAACAAGTCCTCCTCACGACCTGGCACGTACCGTGATCCATCCTTTTCCGCCGGTCTGTCCTGCAGTCACGGTCACAGCCTCTGACACACTGACTTCACGAGAGGTCGGCGACACTGATCACGTGTCACGGGTCACGGGTCACGGGTCACGGACTGTGTCACGTGACTCACGCCGTGGTCAGCTGAGACCGCGCGGTGACCCGATCTGGGTAACACGAGCCGCCAGTGACGCGCCGAGAGGCGTGGAGAGGTATGTGACCGAGGGGAGGGCGGTGTTATATGTCACCGCTGGGTGAACGCCTGTCACCGGTCATACGTCACCGAGTGACGGGGTAACGGTCACCGAGTGACGGGGTAACGGTCACCGAGTGACGGGGTAACGGTCACCGAGTGACGGGGTAACGGTCACCGAGTGACGGGGTAACGGTCACCGAGTGACGGGGTAACGGTCACCGAGTGACGGGGTAACGGTCACCGATCACTGCAGCTCACCAGTCACCGAACACCGGCCCTCGATCGCAATCTCCGGCCGAAGCTTCACTCACGAATCTCCTTCTCACGACTCTGTGATCACGACTCTGTCACCACGGTCGACTCGAGTCACGAGTCACGCGCCCACACCGACGCTCTCCCCTCACAGCCTCTGACCGCCACTTCTCACAGTCTCTCTGCACACCGACCCGTCCACAGCTCACAGCCGTCCGTCCTCACCGCGGCCACCTCTGGCACTCTGAGGCGACCCTGCGCTGTCAGTACGGGCCCGCCGGGGGCCGGTGTCGCTGGCTCGTCCGGCGCCGTCACCGCGCGCCCTCCTGACCGGGCCGGGCCGGGCTGGCCGCCGCTGACCGGCCGCGGTATGTGTTTATACAGACACCGGCACACGGGGCAGCACGCCGCACTGAGACCGCCGCGGTCAGGAGAGACGGCGGGACAGGCGGGGGACGGCTTCATTAGGGGTGACGGGAGGGGAGGTAGGTCACGCACACCCCTAAAGCTTGCGGGTGGTAACTTGGTTGCACGTATAGCAGCGATATGAGTCATGAAATGTCAACCTGACCAGTGGAATGCGTCATACTCGATGAAACATTCAAAAGGTCATCGGTAGAGTATGCCTTCAGCATAAAAGCAATGAAGCTACAGAATGGGCGTGGCCAGGACACGGATAGAATGGGTCGACGGTTTCCAGCAGTAAGCCAGGATCAAAAGGCAGCCACAAAAGCGCGGCTGAGCCATCCTACTGTCCTAGTGACCCTGAGTGTCGGAGGAAGCCTCTCAATGTCGGGACAACCCTGACCGCCCGAACAGCGAGTTCGTATGGAAATAGAAAGGGAATCGGATCCTATTTCCTAGAGCACTCGAGAAACTTGAACAGCTGACACTGGCAGTAATATTACTTCAAGAAACGTTAACGGCCTCAATAAAATTGTGGCCGACTATAAATTCAAAAAATCGGTCAATTCGTTGCGCTGCAACCGCTATAAAGAAACTGGGCTGCACCCACATCATCCTGGGAAATGTCGACCTAACACTGAACACCCCGTGGTTAAGGAGCACTCGGCCACAAGCGGGGAGGCGGCACCCCAAACCACGTGCGACCTTCCACCCCAACCCAACCAGAGCGCTGGCGTTACCTGCGGGCTCCCGCAGCTCCCGCTCGTGCTGCTCCTGCTGGTTCTCCTGCTGTTGGTGCTGGTGCTCCTTCCGTTCAGCCTCCTCCGGGTGGTCACAGAAGGCGCCGCTGCGCCGCATCCGCCGCCAAAACCGGCGCATCGTGGCGGTCACTCACTGCTCAGACACCTCAGATCACAGCACAGCAGGCTCATCAGCTGAGCTCACTAGAGCGAGCTTACTAGAGCTCACCGCCACAGCTCACCGACGAGCTCACTGTGTCAGCCCACCACTTCAGCT